TTCTATGATAAACTCTCCAAATCCTGACCCCGCAGAGCAGGCAAAGCAAGGCTGCACCTGTCCCTGCTGATTGCAGGGGGCGTTCGGAGACTCACCCATTGGGCAAACCCGCTCAGTGGTCTGCCGAAAGATTCAGACAAGTTGTACCCTAACCTGGGTGCGCTGCATGAACCCAGAGAGCCAACATAGCCTAATGACAGTGGCTTAGTGAGGATGGAAATCCTGCTGGAATGGCGAGGAGGCCAAGGATGTAACAAACTGGCCACGTGTGCTCAGGCCCCAGCTGGGCCTGGACCTGCAGCCCTGAACACACGAGCCCCTTCCACCTGACCGACAGGCATAAAGTGGTTGGCTGCACAGAGGCAGCAGTTTCTGGGGCCAGATGCTGGAGGGAGACGGGATCCCATCACTCAGCCCGTCTGTCACATTTGGCTCTGCCTTGTGCCTCTCACAGCCAACCCGCTGCTCTCCCACCTGGGCTCAGATTCACGCAGACAGCACACCAATCGCCTCACCCTCCACGCTGGCTCCTTCCACCCCAAGACACAGGGGAAAGGGCAGTCACAGTTTCCTAATTTCAGACAAAGAAATGAGCAGGAACAGCCCCTGGCTGGGCACTTCCCGGGGAGTCTCAGCGCTGCCTAGCCCTGGGACTGATTACGCTAGCCCATCGGTCACTGGTTCGCAGGGCGAGACTCGCTAGCCCCCGATGACAGCCTAGCTCTAGGTCACTGACGGCTGGACTCTGGCACGACCGCGGCCTGTCACAACGCCCAGGATGTGGGGACAGGCGCACGGGAGAACCAGACAGCTGGTGCAATGAACAGGTGTGAGGCAGCCCTGAGGAAAGGGGTGAGTGGGGCTGAGAAGGGGCGCAGACAGGGCAGTAACACAGACCTTTCCTCCTGGCTTCCTCCAGGATGCTGGAGGTGAGATAGGGCGCTGGCTCCTCCGGCTCCTCCAGCTGATGGCGAGTTCCCTGAGCTGGGGACGCGTTTCTTAAGAAGTGCCGCAGCGTTGGCCCCGCTGCCAGCCGGGCGCTGAAGTCCGCCAGGCCCCCGTCCCGCTCGCCCGGGCCCCGGGTGGACAGGCGAGCTCGGCCCTCGGAACCAGCGGCCCAGGACAAGGGCCTCCCGGGGAACGTCCCAGCTGCTCCCAAGACGCGTTGTAAGGGCTGGAGCATCGCGGCCGATGGGCGAGAGACCAGACACCCTGCAAAAGCCCAGAGAGCCGGGCATTCACTAGCCAGCCCCGCTTCACTGACAGCCACCTGCGATGACCCGGGCGCAATCCCCGGCGTGCGGGTTTCAGGACACGGGCTGCGCTCCTGCCCCCGCATCTCGGCGGGGACGGGCTGGGGACGCCAGTGGGGCGCCCCGGCCCCTGCCCAGGCGGAGCTCGCTGCAGAATCGGGGCCTGACAGCCTTTCCCGTGATGCAGAGACGCGCTTCCCTGGGGCCCGTGCAAACGGAGAGGGGGCTAACGGGGGGCGGGGGCAGTGCTGGGGAGGCCTCCTCGCCAGTCGGGTCCCGGGTGGCCGCTGGCCTCGCCCCCAGCCCAGGCGGGCGCCGGTTCTCCCGGGGCGGGGGGCGGGCGCCCCGGGGGCCAGGGCGAGCTGCCGGGCCCCGGCCAAGCCTAGGCAGGGAACCCGGGGCGGGGGCGCGCCCTCTGCGCGCGGGGCGGAAAGGCTGCAGCGAGCCTGGGGGCGCCCCCGAACCAGCCCCGCCCCGGGGCCCGGCCGGGCCGCTGGGGCTGCGTCGCCCTGGCGAACGGGGGCCAGGCCCCCGAGCTCCCCAGCCCGGCGGCCCAGGCTGTACCTGGGCGAGCGGCGGCTCCGCGGCCCCGCTGCCGGCTCGCCCGGCGCGGCGCTGCCCGGCCCCGGCTCGTGGCTGCGCAAAGGGCTCCCCGGGCGGCCGCCGGCCCCGGCTCGTGGCTGCGCAAAGGGCTCCCCGGGCGGCCGCCGGGCGAGCGCAGTTCCTGCCTGGCCGGCTCCGCCGAGCCCCGGCGAGGGGGCCGCCTGGTGGCACCTGGGAGGCGAGCACGCTGGCGGCGGGGGGGGGCTGACAGCTTTCCCGGCTGGGACCCGCTCTCGGGGCCGGCGGCTCCCAACGCCTCGCTCAGGGTCTGCCCTGGCCCCTGTTCCGAAAACTCAGCCCGTGCCCCGCTCCCCCGGCTGTGGGGCAGACGGGAGGCCGAGCGCCCTGGGGCGCCGGCCAGCTCGGCCGTTCCCAGAAACAGAAACCTCCCCTGCTGCTGGGCGCCTGGCACAGGGGTTCTGCACTCCTGGGGCGGGCCGTGCAGTGACACTTGCTTACACGGAAGGGCCGCCCCCGGACCCCTAGCCTGGAGCTTCCCCCGGCCCAGCACGGCCCCCCAGAGTGAACATCCACCCCCAGAAACCACCCCCGCAGGAGAGCGTGGGGCGCAAACACCCAGCAGGCCAGGGCCCCTCCGCACAGGCAGGGTTCCCGCTGTTGGGTTGTAAGATGATCCTTAATTCAATGCTAAACGGCCAGCACTGGCCCAGGAGCCCGGTTGAAAGGGGGGTGGCTGTCAGTGAGGCGGGCCTCGCCTAGGGTGACCAGACAGCAAGGGTGAAAAACCAGAACGGGATGGGGGTAATAGGAGACTATATAAGAAAAAGCCCCAAATATCAGGAGTGTCCCTATAAAATCGGGGCATCTGGTCACCCCAGCCTCGCCTGCTTCCCGGGATCCCAGTTCTCACTAAGAACCAGGCACCTCCCCGCTTCGTGGCTCCACCGTCCCTCTCCTACCGGCTCTGCCCAGAGAGTCACCTCTCTAGGCTGGAAATGGGACTGTTCTGGGTCACGGGAGTCAAGGTGAAAGCAGGCGGGGGGGGGGGCGGCACCGTTTGGTTCCTGACCCTGGCACTTGCCAGTTGCTGTGTTTGCCCCTCTACCCTGCAGCTCTCTGCCCAGGCTAGTGGCCGTTTGGCAGAGATTTCCACCAAGTGCACAGCTTTGCCTTTGTCTCCCTCTTGTACGTCCACACGTTGCTGCTCACAGCCGCCCCCTGGGCTGGCTGGGGCAGTACAGAAGCCGAGGTGGGACCGGAACCAGTGGCCGGCCTGCCTCTTGCTGTGGCTAGTTCTCACGCTCCTCAGCTCCCCTTTGTTGATGTGCCAGGCCCCTGTGTTCTCGGTGCCTTTTCCCAGAGAGGCCGAGCCTGCCCACATAGACTCTCCGTTGCTTCCAAATGTCTCTGTGTGCCGGAGCACGCAGCAGCTGGGCCAGAGAATCGGAGTGTGGGGCCAGCGGGGGCCATTGCCGTGGTTCAGACGCAGACCTCCACAGGGTTCACGCCTCACCCATCTCAGCTCCACAGCACCTGCCTCCAGGCCCCATGGCCTGAATCCCACCGCCAGCAAACTGGGCCCCTGAAACCTGCCTCTAAGCGCTGGCTGCAGCCTGGACAGCCGCACTGGAAACCATCTCGCTGCCTGTGACATGCGGGCCTGACGTTCCAACGCAAGGTCTGTTCGTCCTGCTGTCGGCTTTTTCATGCCTCTGACACCCTGGCTGTGCCCACCTTCATCACTGCCTGCCAGGCAAACCTCCCTCAAGCCCTGCAGGACCAGTGTGGCCGCAGGGGCATCCTTCTTCCTCCCTGGCATACTTCTGGCAGTGCGGGGTCTGTGTGGGCTGCTTTGCGGGAAGACAGGGCCCTGGTCTCCAGCATTGCCTACACCAACAGCTCCCTGAACCCCCCCCTCTCCGAGAATTACAGAACAGGGCTGGGGAAATCAGTCCCTACCCTCCTCAAGAGACTCTCAGGCAGAAGTTACTGTCTCGGGACTGCTCTGAGCGACCCACGTAACACCAGAGTTCAGCAGTGGGTGGGAAGGTTAATCTGCGTTCAAACTACTAAAGAAAAAATATCCACTGAATGCGGGGTTAGTATTTCCTACAGATTTGTGTGTCGCCTGGCAGGTAGGGGAGGGGTCTGAGAGTCAGGACTCCTGCGTTTGATTTTTGGCTTTGCTCTAAAACCGAGCATGTGACTTAACCACTCCGTGCCTCAGTTTACTCACCTGTAAGGTGGCTGCCTACCCCCCAGACCTTCTGAATCAGTCGTGCTGCTTGGACAATGATTCACCCCTCCCTTGACAAATTCTGAAGAAAATGATTTTTGTTGTTTTTCTTCTCATAAAAAGTCTTAATTTTTTTTGTTTTGTTGAAAACCTGATCATCAAAAATTTTCATTTTAAACAATAAATTAATTAATAAATGCACTTGGTTTTTCGTTACTGAAAACAGAAAATTTGTTGGATTTCATAGTTTCCCCCCCAAAATTTCCTGGATGTCAAAACATTGTTTTTCATTGGAAAAAAATGTTTTTTGACAGAATGTTTTCAGTCAGCTCTGTTCATTACTGTATGTAATGGAGCTTTCAACTGCTTGGATGAAAGCCATTCTGGACCAGACGCAAAACCCACCGAAGGCAGTGGAAAATTTCCCAGTTGGCTAGTGTGTTACACGCAAACGCTGGCGTGGTGTATATGAGAGGCATGTAAGTGTAAAGTATTATTGTTACGTCAGGTATTTCCGCTGAGTAAAAATTCTGCTGAGGGGCCACGGAAATAGATGACAAACCCCTTCTGCAACCTCTGCCTTTATCAGAGTGTTTTATTTTCCAACAACACAATAAAATGTGTGTTCCTCTTTCTAACATACTTTCGACTGGAGCACGTTGCACCGTGAATAAATAGCTTACAGCTGGTCGGAGCGAAAAGTGGATCGGGGGAGATGCGGGGCTGGGAGCCCTGTTCTGAGGAACTCACAATTCCAATGCGCCCTTTTCCCAGGGTTTTCTCATCATTCCAAAATGTGCAGCAAGCTGGCAGGTCAGATGGTGCTAGTTCTCCTTCTCCCACCCCCCATCATTGCCAGTTGCTACACTGCATTAAAAAGACAGCAACAGATACAGTAAATGCTTCCATGTGTTACTTATCCATGAAAAGAACAGGAGGACTTGTGGCACCTTAGAGACTAACCAATTTATTTGAGCATAAGCTTCTGTGAGCTACAGCTCACTTCATCGGATGCATGCAGTGGAAAATACAGTGGGGAGATTTATATACACACAGAACATGAAAAAATGGGTGTTACCATACACACTGTAAGGAGAGTGATCACTTAAGATGAGCTATTACCAGCAGGAGAGCGGGGGAGAAAAACTTTTGTAGTGATAATCAAGGTGGGCCATTTCCAGCAGTTAACAGGAACATCCGAGGAGCAGTGGGGTGTGGGGGTGGGGGATAAACATGGGGAAATAGTTTTACTTTGTGTAATGACTCAACCACTCCCAGTTTCTATTCAAGCCTAAGTTAATTGTATCCAGTTTGCAAATTAATTCCAATTCAGCAATCTCTCGCTGGAGTCTGTTTTTGAAGTTTTTTTGTTGAAGAATTGCCACTTTTAGGTCTGTAATCGAGTGACCAGAGAGATCGAAGTGTTCTCCGACTGGTTTATGAATGTTATAATTCTTGACGTTTGATTTGTGTCCATTTATTCTTTTACGTAGAGACTGTCCAGTTTGACCAATGTAAATGGCAGAGGGGCATTGCTGGCACATGATGGCATATATCACATTGGTAGATGTGCAGGTGAACGAGCCTCTGATAGTGTGGCTGATGTGATTAGGCCCTGTGATGGTGTCCCCTGAATAGATATGTAGGCACAGTTGGCAACGGGCTTTGTTGCAAGGGTAGGTTCCTGGGTTAGTGGTTCTGTTGTGTGGTGTGTGGTTGCTGGTGAGTATTTGCTTCAGGTTGGGGGGCTGTCTGTAAGCAAGGACTAGCCTGTCTCCTAAGATCTGTGAGAGTGATGGGTCGTCCTTCAGGATAGGTTGTAGATCCTTGACGATATGTTGGCCGTCATGTGCCAGCAATGCCCCTCTACCATGTACATTGGTCAAAGTCTGTGGAAGGGAAGCTCATTTGCTTGGTTTTTCTTTCTGTTCAAATGCTCATGCTGCTCCTCTGTCTATCCAGTGCCCAGTGATCCAGACTGAGCAGGCAGGGGAGGAATTTCTTTGGAGACAAATCACATGTTTTTTACTCCTGGACAAACAGCTTCGGTAGCAGTGAATTGCTGGGGGAAGGAGAGAATCTGGAGCCCTCTCTGGGCATGAGGATGGGTGCGGTGCAGGCAAAGAGGAAAGGTGGGAGCCTGTTATCCATTCACAAGGCCAGGTGCTGCTCAGGGGAAAGAGGAACGTTGTCTTTTCGTATCAGTCGTTTCTTTCAGCGTCTCGTCCTCAGCGTCTCTACATGTAACGAACATCTGCTCCAAACAGCAGGAAGTTCTAGGAGAGACATCATGATGTAAGCCACTGGCAAAGCCTTTCCTTTGGTCACAGAACAGCAGAGCCCACCTGCATTCGGCGGTAAATGCCGGGCTCTCTTTAATCAGGGAATATGTACTCTAGAGCAGCAAGCCGGTAAGCATGTGTGTATGGTGCACGCTGCAGGCCATGAAGAGTGTGAGTTGGCTTCACATCAGAGGGAAATCCATGTTTCTCCCCAGCTATTGTTCCCAAGTTTATATTTATTCAGCATTGTGTGAGCAGCTGTTTCTCTGTTTCTGTCATTGGCACTTTACTCCTTCGCCCTAGGCTGGACGTGCTGCAATAGTCACAGGCACTGACAGTCTCATGCTGCTTTGCTTTGGAAGAGCTTTACAAACGTGCCTGGCCAACACCCAATGGACTCAGTTCCTTAACATGTTACATTTCCTCAGTTCCTCTCATGCTGAGGGATCCCAACTACTTCACAAGGTCTGGGCTCGATCCAAGCCCCGTTGAAATTAACAGGACCCCTTGCGCTGATTTCAGTGTGCATTGGCTTGAGCCCTGTATGTGCACCCAAAGCCACCGGAATGCAGCCACTGCTAACATGGGGGTGGGGACAGGGAAGGATGCCACCCAATAGAAAACCCACACATAGCACATCGCAAGACTGTGTGTTAGTGGTGGTGGAGATGGTGGGAATTTAGGGCCAAAAATCACAGCAAATCTCTGCTCTTTATAAATTTCTTTGGAGACAAATCACATGTTTTTTTACTCCTGGACAAACAGCTTTGGTAGCAGTGAATTGCAGGGAGAGGGAGAGAATCTGGAGCCCTCTCTGGGCATGAGGATGGGTGCGGTGCAGGCAAAGAGGAAAGGTGGGAGCCTGTTATCCATTCACAAGGCCAGGTGCTGCTCAGGGGAAAGAGGAACGTTGTCTTTTCATATCTGTCGTTTCTTTCAGCGTCTTGTTTTTAAGGTCAGGCTTGACAAAGCCCTGGCTGGGATGATTTAGTTGGGGATTGGTCCTGCTTTGAGCAGGGGGTTGGACTAGAACCTCCTGAGGTCCCTTCCAACCCTGATATTCTATTCTATGATTGAGAGCTGTGTGAAATTTAAGACCAGATTTTCAGAAAACACAAAACCACATGTACATTTGCATGCTGACTCTGAACGTTCAGTTCTGGGATTGGTGTGCAACTATACTCGTGCAATTGTGAAAATCTGGACCCTGACGCTCAGGGCTGAGACCAGCTCAGTTCCTAAGTTCTTGTCTGAGAGACACTTCCCACCCCCGTCTGCCCACTCCCAGTAAATCCCAAGGAAATCCAGGGATGTACCTTGGGTAGACCGAGGGCTTTATATGAACCTGGGCACCCATGGAGTCTGTGTGTTGCTTGACCACTGACACTTGGACTCATGATCTATCCTGTCTGGGAACCTCTCATTCTCCTCCCTTAGTACAGACCAGCTTCTCCCTGCCAGCTAGCACCAACTAATCAGGGCGATTCCTGCCTGTTCCCCTGCCTGTGAACGGCACTGCTCCTCCTCACAGCACTTCCACCAAGCTGGGTGTCAGCTCAGAGACCCCTTCCTTCCCTCTCCCGCCCTACTCACCCCCCGCAAGAGCTTCACTAGTGATGAAAAGGGTTTATTAGGCCACCTCGCCTTCCCCTGCCCTTCCCTGGGCCTATACTAAGGTATCCACTGGTGGTTGCTCCAGGCATGGCTCACACCCTGCTCCTCACTCTGATCCGTCCCGCCGTTGGCATTAGTTGTTGCCCCAAATTATTGCCCAGGTGCCCCTTTGCCCAGCACAGGGGATTGTGTTCACTGACCTGGCGGGGCTGTATGACGAGGTTGGAGAGCTGGACGCGAGCCGGCAGTGGGAGAGGGAAGCCCTCTCTGAGTAGCGCTGCAAAATAAAACATTCATGAGAGCAATGGTGGGGCAGAACAATCAGAGTCGCTGTGGGGTTTTGCAGCGAACCGGGCACCATCGACTCACACCTGCCCAGCCCTGCCCCCATGTTAGCACCCTGCTCCCTGGGGGAAGGAGCTGGGAGCCCCCCCAGCAGCTGCCTAAGCGGGGAGACTTCTCGCATGCCGCTCTGCCCCTGCACACACACACAGGCGCTGGTCCCAGTGCTCTGGCCCTGCGAGCTGCAGAACAAGAAGCAGCACGTTAGGGAGACGGGATCTGGAAGGCATTACGACGTGCGCCGTTCACATTCTTTCCACTGTGTTCTCTTCTCTGCGTGTCACTGCTCCGAGATGGACTCTATTCAGCCCCCCACCCTGTGTGTGCAGCAGGCCCAGGATGCTGGTGGAAGCTCCGGGATCTAGGTCTCCTCTGCCCGCAGCAGCTTCTGCCCACTGTTGATAAGTGAGGTGTCAGGGCTCTGGTCTGATACAGATACCCTTGGACCCGCCAGCCCCTCACCGTTAATGCGTGGGATCAGGATGCTGGAGCCATAGAAGTTCATGAGTGCCTGCAGCAGCTGCACCTGGGGATGCAATGAAGAGTGTAACCCTCTGCAGCTGGCAGCAGAGGAGGTACTGGGAGAGGGGGTGGCTGTACGTTAGGGGGCCAGGAACTCAGGTAAGAATCTGCTTGAACCAAGGAGACGAAACACAGGGGCCGTCCTGGAAACTAACCGAGTCCAACAGACTGCAACATCCTGGGCTAGGGAAGCATCATCCCCGGGCCCACAGGCAGGCCCGGTGGGGGTGCACAGGCTCCTGGGTCTCAGGCGGCATGTCTATACTGCACGCTAAGCCTGGCTGGGCTGGGGGACTCAGTGTTTCCAAGCCCATGTTGAGCAACCGCACTGCCCTGTAACCCTGGGCTTGTGATTACTGCACCGTGGTCTCCCAGCTGGGTTAACACATCCACACTGCTCTACGCAGACCGTCTGACTCAGGCCTGCAGCTTGACCTCCACCCACACTGCAAAATGACAGGGCTTTGACCCGAGCCCCCGAGGGGTCCCAGAAGGGGACCCAGTCCCCTAGCAGGGTCCTAGGACCCGGGTCCTGAGTGCTTGCTGATGGAAGGGGGGCTGAAACCTGAGTGCCAGCCTGGGCTGAGGGTGCAGTGTAGACCCACGCACGCACACCTGGTGCTCAAGGGAGGAGGAAGGGATGGGCCTGCGGAAGTTTCCCAGAAGCGCTGACCCAGCAGGTGGAGGAGGGGCGCAGCGTGGACATCACCTCACCGCTTTAGATCGGGCTAGAGTCTTCCTGCTGGCGAGCCCAGCTTGGGACCCCCGGTGGCTGGAAGGGAGTCACAGTGCACCAGCCACTGGCAACCCTACTTCCCGGGGGCAGGGTGGGGGGCACCTCTGAAGCGACGATGGAGTCCAGAGCGTCCTGGGAGATGAGACGAGCCCCGGCGGTGCAGCTCCTCTTGCACCCTGGCTGGAACTTACAGCTGCCCTGGCCCGGTGGCACCCCCACAGAATGGAGGCAGTGGGGCGCCATCTCCCCTCCCCCGGGAGCCCTCCCTTGGGGGCACACACAGAGGTGTGAACCAAGCCCAGCAGCTCCTCCAAGCAGAGCCTGGGTGAAGTCCCTCCAAGGAGAACTCACAGAGAAAGGGCCGATGTCCGAGTGCTTCAGTGACAGCTGCAGCCTGCAGAAAAACACGGAGACTTGGCACGTCCATCGCGCCCTCGCGTAGGGAGCTCTACTGTCAGGGCTCGGCCCCAGGAGGGGGCTCACGTCTGAACCCCACCCGCAGCCAGCCCGGCCTTTAAAGAGAGTGGAATGGCTGCCAAGCAGAGCGCTGCCGTCCCTCTGTGATAGCAGCAGGCACTGCAGTGCGGCCAGGAGCAGGCCCTGGGCAGTGATGGGCACGGCTGGCTTGGGTGCAGGGTGTGGTGCAGCCAAAGGCAGGCCCTGGGCAGTGATACTCGGGTACTGTGGGGCGGCCGGGGGCGGGCCCTGGGCAGGGATACTCGGGTGCTGTGGTGATACTCGGGTACTGTGGGGCGGCCAGGGGCGGGCCCTGGGCAGTGATACTTGGGTAGTGTGGTGATACTTGGGCACTGTGGGGCGGCATGGGGAGGGCCCTGGGCAGGGATACTCGGGTGCTGTGGTGATACTCGGGTACTGTGGGGTGGCGGGGCGGGTCCTGGGCAGGGATACTCGGGTACTGGGAGGCGGCCGGAGGCGGGCCCTGGGCAGTGATACTCAGGTGCTGTGGTGATACTCGGGTACTGTGGGGCGGCGGAGGCAGGCCTGGGCAGTGATATGGGTATGTGGGGTGGGGGGGTCTGGGCAGGGATATCGGGTACTGGGAGGCGGCGGAGGCGGGCCTGGGCAGTGATATCAGGTGTGTGGTGATATGGGTATGTGGGGGCGGAGGCAGGCCCTGGGCGTGATATGGGTGCTGTGGTGATATCAGGTATGTGGGACGCGGGGGGCCTGGGCAGGGATATGGGCTGTGGTGATATGGGCACTGTGGGGCGCGGTGGGCCTGGGCGTGATACTCGGGTGCTGTGGTGATATGGGTATGTGGGCGGGGGGTGGGCCTGGGCAGGGATATCAGGTATGTGGTGATATCAGGTATGGGGGCGGAGGGCGGGCTGGGCGGGATATCGGGTGCTGTGGTGATACTCAGGTATGTGGGGCGGCGGCCTGGGCAGGTACTGGTACTGTGGTGATACTCAGGTACTGTGGGGCGGCCGGGGCGGGCCCTGGGCAGGGATACTCGGGTGCTGTGGTGCGGCCGGGGCTGGCGGTGCACTGTGATACTCAGTGTTGTGTTTGCTGTAATGCCCAGGCATGCTGGGAGGAGTGAAGGTCACATACCAGGGGAGCTGGGAGTTTGAATCCCACAGCTTTCATCCCAGCTTCGTCAATCCCCCGCCCTCTGCGACCCCTGGCCTTCACCGGCAGGTACAGGGCCAAATTCAGCTCAGATGCAAGCCAGTGCAACTGGCCTGTCGCCAATGTAGCTTACACAAGGGCTGCATTTACGCCATGGCCACAGCTAGCCCACTAGCCAGCGGGGAGTCTGGCAGCTCTGGGATGCTTCTCAGCCTCCTTCTCACCCTCTCCCTGCCCTCACCCCCAGAACGGAAACTCTGACACCTCCTGGGCCCTGCAGAAAGTTTAGCCGTATCCTCTGGCAGGGCCGTTCCCCAGGATCCATGCTGCTCTCAGAGACGCCCTGCTCTCTATCAAGCCTTTACGAGCCTCTTATGACCTGACGGCGGCTTAGCAGGGAAGGACAAAGGTTGAACTCCCCTCCACCCCACCCCCACCCCCGACCCTCGCTGTGGCTCCTACCTGCCAAGCTCCAGGGTCGCACCTATCTGGGCAGAGGTCACCATAATTTTGACTGAAACGCTGCTGGTCTAGGAATAGGAGAAGTGAGGTCAGTTCCCGTGAGACTGGGACTGTGAATGCAAAGGCCCTTCCCTGGGATCGGGGAGCCAGGAGAGAGACCTGGCTCCTGCAGGGGAAGGGCTGGGCACAGCCTGCACTGTCATCTTGCTGACAGCACGTGGAGCCATGCTGGCCCGGGGAGGAGACCAGAGCGGCTGTGCTGGGAAAGGCAGACAGGCAGGTTATGTGGGGGGTCCCTCTCCTCTCCTGCTGGAGGAATGCAGTAGGGTTGCTGCACTTGGCAAAGGGATGGGGCCCAGCTCATGGCCAATCCAGTCCCAGCCGATCCCAGCAGGAGTCAGCTCGCTAGAGGGGGAGACACAGGGATATGCGCTTAGGAGAGCCTAGCAGCTATTCCAGGTCCATATGCCAGATCCCTCCTCTATCATCAGTAGGGCAACCGCACTAAGGTCTCTCCACCCAGGGCCAATATCCATAAGCCATGCCCAGACTTACCACGCTGAGGAGGAAGATGGGGACAAAGGAGGAGTTGGGTAGGATAACGTATGCTTGGATATCCACAACAGGTGTAAGCGACAAGTTTCCAGGCGCGATGGTCAGGAACGGAGCAGAAGAGGTTTTAATCCTGAGCTTCATCAGCTTGTCTGGGTACATCTTCTCCAGCTGGGGACGGAGCAGAGGAGAGCCAGTCAGCACCGGGGAAGGTGACGACAGATTTGCACAAGCTCGGTACCGTGATAAAGCAAAGTCCCTGAGAAATGGAATCTGATGCAGCCTTTAATCAAACAACACATCATGTTCCTCCTGTGACCATCGCCCCACCTCAACATTTCCAAACATGTCTTTCCTGAAGACCCCTTTCCTGAGGCCACCCCCAGCAAACCACGGTGCCCAGTCGTTTGTGTGTGGCAGGCCGGCAGCTGGCTCAGCACCGACGCTCTCTCAAGGGAGCAGGACACGTACCTGGGGAATGAAGGCTGAAAAAGTGGAGGTGTTCAAATGGAATTTAAACTCCTTCGGAATCTGTGGCAGGAGAAACACAAATGGTGCCGGAGGGTCAATTCAACAGAGCAATGACCTGCCGTATGGAATGACAAGTGGAAGAGCCGGAGGCAAAATCAGCCACCAAACCCACCTCCGCTATCCTCAATAACCTAAGCCTACTGCTGTGTAAAGCCGGGCCCAGTATGAACCTGGTACGTGACCTGGTCAGGCAGGGAAAGTGACGCTACACTTGAGGTGGGTTATTAGACTTTCCTGTCCGACCTAACTCCACTGGGAGTGGCATGTTTATGATAGGCCTGTCACGCTGGAATTAAGACCTGCAGAGGTGACCACAGCTGATGCCCAGGGCCCCGTCTGAGAGTGAGAGAATTGCCTGCATCCATCCTGAGGGCGGTTGCAGCCCAAGGCCTGAAAGCGGATGGGCTCAGGGGTGCCATTAGCCCAGGAACTGTGACTAACCACCCCACCTCCTTCTCCAGCAGCCATAGCCCAGGGTTTGTGGGACCCTCCCTGAGTGGTGAGACGAGCTCTCAATCCCATGTCTGCCAGCAGCAAGGTGGGATCTGCCTCTAAGGGCGGGTCCCCATGAGATCTTGCCTTTTACCCTGTCAGGGGATGACTGCAAACACCACATGTGGTGCCCGATGAGAGAGAAAACATCCCCCACTGACTTACCCCAGCACCCCTGCCCCTACCCATCTTGTACTCATATGGCCCTCACCACCAGTGTCTGAGCGCCATGCAGTCCTCAATGGGTTGATCTCACCCTCACCCCATGCAGTAGGGTGATTCAACCATTTCACAGATGGGCCAGAGAGACTCAGCGACATGCCCAAGGAAGCTTGTGGTTGAGATGGGAATGGAACCCAGGTCTCCTGAGTCCCACAACCCCTTACCATGGCATCAGTGATCTCAAAGAGCAGGACCCCGGCCTTGTGGTACACAAAGCCAGCTGTGTTGAAGAAGTAACTGGAGGCTGCGAAGTAAACCATGCGGTCATGATCCACGGGGAAGGCCAGTATGGGAGGAGCAAAGGGGACGGCAGAGCGATGGGCCAGGGAAAAAAATTCACCCTAGTGAGGAAGGAAAGAAAGAATGATGCCTGGGGGAGGGGAGAACAGGGGGAGCTGGAATTCACTTGGTTTTCACTGTCCCAGCTTGGGAGCAAAGCGTTCAGAGGAAGAAAATAAAAACCGGGTCTACCCACCGCTCTCCCCACCCTGCACTCACACCAGAGCATGTTAAAAATAACCCGGGACTGGATCAATATAAAGAATGCTAATGTTTTGGAATGGCCTGGAGCTTGTCATGGGAAGGAGCTCAAGTTCCCTGTACATGACACCAGAGAGGGGTGGATTGCATTTTACTCATTTTACCCAGTTTTAGCTGCAGCTAAGTCACTGGAGGCACAGAGAGGTTAAGTGACTCACCAATGGTCACAATTCCACACTGAGAGTCAGTGGCAGATCTGGGAACAGAATCAATGAGGCCTGAGTTTCAGCCCCTAGCTCCTAGGATGCTCTGGCACCTGGTAGTTGATGCTCCAGGCCCTCGCTAGGCAGAAATGCTAATGGAACGTACATATATTCTTCACTGATCCCCCCAGGGTTGTGTGTGTCCCTCAGTTCCCATCTCACCTTCAGATTCACATCCAGAGATTGGGCTGTTGCCGCGGGAGGTGCAACCAGGGAGTAATCAATCCCAGCCACCTTGTCTATCTTTGCTGTGACTACAGAACAGGAGAGACACAAACCCGATGGGCTGAGATGCCAGTGGAAATCACTGGAGGGTGAGCTGTTCCCTCTCTCTAGCTGGGACTCACAGAGCAGCAAGCCAGTGAGGAGTTACCAGTGGCATGGGGAGTTAGGGAGCCAGGTTTATTCTCCCTCAGCTCAGTTCAGAGCAAAGAGACAGGGTTTTTCTGTAGCTACCAGCTCTGGGAACTAGCCCTCAGCCGGGAGAGTCAAGCTGGGTCCTTTCTGCTAAGGACACCTGCAGTCCCAACCTCTGGGGAGCCCTGGGCCTGGTCCCGCCATGCTCCCCAGAGGCTGCAGGGAGGAGGCAGGGCTTTGCACCCTCCTGTCCTGAGAGCAGCTGACTACATACAGAGGGGGACAGCCTCCACCAGGCAGCTCACACGGTCCCTTTGGGGTGATGTGGTGCCCCATGGCCCTCAGTGTGGGCCAGAGGCTAAATGCGGGGTGAAAAACAGTGTCCCATGGCATGTGCCTGGCCTGGGGGAAAGACTTGTAAAAATCCAAAGCCATCATCGTGTTGTACCTGGCAGAGTCTGGAGATAGGGCTGCAGCTTGGTGGTGACAGAGCTGGTCACTGCTTCGCAGACCTGTGGAAAACAGAGGTGACCCCTTGGTGACTGACCAGCAGCTCTGTCTGAGTCACACACTGAGTGGCAAGTCCTCAAACCGCCTCTCAGTTTCTGCAATGCTGCACAACTTTTTTACTTATGCAAAAGCCTGTGTTTGCACACGCAAGTGACATTTCTGCCTGCAAATGAGGCACCGGTCTGGCTGACTGCCCAACATGCATGCATCGTGCATGTGGGGGGGGGGAGGGGGGCTGTGTGCGCAAATATTTGCTCATGCAAACAACTCCAAGCACAGCCTAGTGGCTCAGTTGAGCTCCTTTGAAAAGGGTCTCACTTGTGACCCAAGTCCCAGTTCTATGTTCTAGACTGGACATGTTGGAGAATATGTACGTGGAATCCAACCTGCTCTGGATGAGCTCTGATCACTGGACCTCTATGTCCAAAGCTCCACCATGCAGACTGGAAGTTTGGCTGTTCACCAAATGCAGCACTCATGCCCCAGGCAGCACATGGGGGGCGGGGGTGTCTTTAACTTACTGCTCCTGGTAAGCCAGGCTGGGTAGCCAAGTTTTTAGCCTACCCAGGCAACCAGAAAGGGCTAATTCAGCCTTGCCTGGGGAGGGGGAGAGAAACAGCTCGATGGAGTGGGATGATAAAACCCAAAGGGCTCTGTGCTCTCAGCTACAGCACGCTATTGACTCTCCTCGCCCAGCTCCAGGGGCTCGGCAGAAATGCCACTTCGGTGTTACTGGGAGACTGAACCAGCGTGTACAGCATGGTTGGAAATGGACTGCAGGGAATAACCCTGCCAATGCACTAGAATACCTGCTGGGGATCTTCTCCAGTCCCGTTTCCCGTAAGGACCCAGAAACCGCCGCGCTGGATCGGACCATTGGTCTTTCCAGTCTGGCCTCTGGCCTGCAGCAGTGGCCAAGAGCAATAGCCAGTGCTTCACAAGACAGGGGCATGGTAACCAGAAAACAAAGAGCTGAGCACAAGGGGGGAATTCCCTCGAGAGGTAGGAGGCAGGAGCTGTCCGGTTACTATTCTAGTCCACGGGTCCCCGTTATCCATCATGTGGTCAGCTCACGCTCACGCTTGTTAGTTGTCAAACCAGTTCTTTTCCCTCCTCTCTGCTGTACAGCTTGTGAACGGGAAGGTGTGTTCCTTCCCCCCGCTATGCAGAGACAGGACACATCCACGCAGGGCCCTGGAGTGCCAAAACCTGGCCTGAGACTGATGGGGAAATGGGAAAGGTTTGTTGGGGGCTGAGTCATATAACAGCCCTTGTGCATGCACATACCCTCCTAGTGCACAGAGTGTGTCAAGGGGGAGCCAGCCCAGCGGAGCGTGGGAAGGGGAGAGAAGTCAAGCAGTGGAGGTTCAGCTCTGCAGGGTGTGGGCAAGTCCCTGAGACAGACAGGGAGCTGGGGGGTGCAGGGAGTTAGGGTGAGAGACGGGATGCACCCCCTGTTCTAAGGAGGGGAAACAAAGCATCTCCGTGACTTCCTTGGGACAGGCATGAGCAGATTAACCAGGGAACATGGGAACCAGTGCTATAGAGCAGCGGGCTAGGCCTCTGCCTACGGGAAGTTTCTGGCATGTGGTGATGGGGACCCTGACGTGCTGCAAAAGGAGCAGGAGGGGAGTTACTGAGAGATTCTCACCCCGTCTCCAATGTTCCCCAGCAGTGTCCCCTCCAGAGAGGCAGGAGACAAAAGCCTTAAACAGAAGCACCTCTCTGATAGGCCCGGGCTTTGCTTCGAATGCCAGCCCATCTGCTCCAAGGGCTTCCAGATGGCCCTTAAAAAGCCACTAGATGGCACTAAAAGTAGCTCAATACAATCAGTCCAGCATTTTAAATCTATTGTATAAATGGACTTTTCCCTGTTCTCCAACTGCCTCCTTCCTGAATGAGGTTCACATCAAGAGCTGTAGCAAGTCGGGCCAGTTAGCCATGTAGCAATTATTTCTAACAGCTTGTTTCCACGTCTTGGTGCAGGTTTCCTGAGGGTAGGCTATTGCACTGTGCTGTAGGTACCCGGGTGTTGCCACTGCGTCCCATTAAAATAAGCCAGTAAATGACTGTAAATCCAGCAATGAGAATTTCTACCCCAAAGCTCCTAAAAATCTCTACGAGTGACAGGCCGTTGAAAGCCTCGCTCTAAGTGGGCTCTGTCTTTTGATCTGAGCTTGGCTGAGGCATGCGATCTAATTAACGACCCCGGGAAAAGAAAAGTCTTTGTTAATTGAGACCAATGATATTAGGCATCAGCAAATGTTGCAAGTTTAGAATTCCGTAAGAACTGTGCACTGCCGAGGTGACTGCAGTTTATGTGTTTTTCACAATACTTTGCAGCACTGATCTCTGTACCGCACACCTCTCCCCAAGAACTTGAGCTCCAGGACACCCCCCGCGCCCCGAGCTCTTGCCTGAGACACAGGCCATTTGGAAATCATGTCAGTGCCGCAGGAGAGCTGGACAGTGGACGAGGGGTCACTATCAAGAGTTGGTATTCTGTGCTCCTAGCATATCGTACCTTGCCTTCCATGGTCCTCCTGAAGCTGGACTCAATCTTCTTGTGAAAGAGATTGTACAGCCAGCTATGGAGAAAAACACAGTGCAATCAAGTCATGCTCCTGTCCATGGGAGGATATCGGAGGAGCGTTTCCTTGGAAAGGGGCGACACTAGAGAGGTGTGTGACCGCTGGGCATGTTGTCCCAGGATGGTTTGGATTGAAATCTTTGGTTGCTTTGCTTTGTTTTAATACAATGGCTGCATTTGCAGATAGGCTTGCAAAATGTGCGCACCCAAATTTAGAGATGGGCTGAAAACATGTCTCCTAAAGGGACAACACCGTGGGCCAAATTCAGACCTGGTGCAAGATAATTCATTAGCTCATGATTTGGTTCTGTATGTTTATTTATTAAATTCGTCTTTCACCAACCAATCTCCGGGGCAGTATCAGAGCTTTTCCTTAATTAGCCTCTCTGTGCAGCTACAGGGCCTCTGGGCCAATTACTTCAGGACTCAGTTTACCCCGCTAGCATTTTGTGAAGGAAGGCAGAATTGGAAGGGCCGGCAGTGCTGCTTACAGACCTGTGGGCGCAGCAGAGATGGGCTGAAGGTAACTTATATCCCTGGAGGCCCTTGTAGAAGGTGGGCTAATCAACATGACCCCCAAGCCATGACAATTAAGAGCAGTTACATACCCAAACCTGCCCGAAATGTGCACCCGAACGTTGGAGATGTGGGTTCCACACTCCGAGGTGGTAATGGTGGGTCTCCCAGAGGCGTCGCTGCCCAGCTTCAGACCAACAGAGATAGAGAGACCCTCAATCTTCAGGTCAAATGAACCACTGTCCCTGCTAATGGGAAAGGAAGAAGCAGAAGAGATTGCATTTTCAGGCAGGGGTTCTCCTAAAACCCCTGCACACGCCATGTGCTGGTGGAAAGGGCTTGTATGTTAATCCCCGGAGCACTGATTATTCACGAGGAACATCCCTGAGGCTGGAGCAATGTTCGGGATACACAGTGACCCTGCGGTTTCCTTTGTCCATCATTATAGCAGGAATTAGAGAGTGGGAAATAACCTGTAAGGCCATTGGTTCCATGCCCAGGATGGAGGCTCACTGCAGGATATTCTCCAGTGCTTCCGACTAACCAGCTCAGAGCACCAGCTCGGGGCGGCCCCATGTCACCTACTAGCTATTTCTAAAGAGGCAGTGGGGGAGAACACAGCAAGAAATTCCCTCCACACTCATCCCCATGGCTCTTCCCCCCGGAGCCATGCGACCGAGCCCTCGATGGATCACCCAGGGCTGAAGTGCAAAGGCCAGGCTATGTCAGAGGCCAGAGCCTACGAGGGCTTTAGGAGTGACTCTGGAGGAGATCCAGAGAAGAACACAGCCCCCTGCCCAGCACTGCGAGAATGCTGCCCTCCGGAAATGAGAAGCTGGGCTTGGGTACTGCCCTCCAACCATCACTGTGAATACTCACGCCAGGGAGACAGGCCCTATGGGTGACCCCCACCCATGGGTGGGTGTTGGGGCCTGCCTCTCTGTGGATGATGGGCCTGATCCTTCTCTCACTTATGCTAGTGTAAATCTGGAGAAACCCCACTGATGTCAATGAGGCAGCACTGGTGTAAAACTAGTATGAGAGGAGAATCAGCCCCCTACACGTGGGAAACAAGTTAGTGGGGCAGGAAATGACAAGGAGAAACAAGTGTGTGTGTGTATATGTGCGCGCAGGGGGTCGGGGAGGGGAGATAAAAGAGATGGGGCCGTTTTGGGACACAAAGGGTGCACAGAGCCGGACGGCGCTTACAGAAATCTCTTCTTCACCTTCCACTTCCCCGTCAGCTGGGCAAAGGCGTTGGCAATGGAGACCTTCAGGCCCACGTTGGGGATCAGGGCAATCTGCGAACTCGGCAACTGGAAACTGCGAAGGTTCAGACTGCAAGAGAGAGAAATTCTATCAGCAGAAAACCAGAGCTTCCCCGGGAAAACCCTGAGCACAGGCCTCCGTGTCCCCACAGCCACCAGCACTGCTGGTCGCACGGGGCTGAGGACCGAGCAGGTCAGGGTGAACAAACTCCTTTCCTCCCTTGAGAGTGACCCCTCCCAGACAGACTGAGGCACAAGAAGGGGCTGTACCCCTGGGGCTACGCCCCCTTCTGTGAACACAACGCTTTGCTGGCCACCCGCCGTTCTCTCAGCGTAGCAAGGTGACCTCGCTCCTGGGAGAGAGCCACAAAGTGCTTTTGCCATCACAGGAACCTGCTTGTGTCAGACGGGCTGGAGGTGGGGGTGGGCTTATTCGCGGTCTCCTGAAAGGAGAGGTCATCCCAGCAACGCTGGGAGCTCTAGTCAGTGGGCTCTGCTCCCCGGGGAAGGGCTAGCTGTGGAATCAGGCAGGGACAAACTGGGCTGGGGGTAGGTTTTCTTTTTGGCAAAACCCATTGGTCTGATTTTGCACAAACACCATCCCAACCTTGAGTGCCTGGGCTCCAAGTCACATATTACCTGGCTCCGGCTGGGAGGTTTGGATAAATGGGTTTGGCAGAACCACAGCAATTCACTTTCCATCAGGAGCTCTTGCTCCACCTTATTGAACCCTCTTGCACCTGGCTCTCCGGCGGGAGAGGAATGGCCCTCAGGGACATGCCCCACCCTGGGAAGGACTCTGCCCCGCAGCTTGCACTCAGAGCTCGTACTGGGAGCGGGGGACGGCTGCACGTGGAAGCCCCAAGGTCTCACCTGTAGAATGTGTAGCGCACCTTCCCTAAGACCTTGACTTTAAAGGACCCCGAGAAGTCTGGCAGCTTCAGCTTGGCTAATTCCTTCTGCAGGGCAGTGATGCCCTCCTGACGAGCTGCAGGGACACAAAGCGCACGTCACAGGCTGGCCCTTTGCGAGCCAACTGGATACAGCCCTGGTATATTTGCCATCACACGAGGAAAGTGTCAAAAGGAACAACCAGTTAGTAACTTACCTGCTGATTCAGTAAGTGAAGGGAGCTGGTTTCCATCCCACGTGTGATTATTAGTGCGAAGCCTCAGATTGCGAGAAAGAACCCTAACATTACAGCCTGGGCTGCGCTAAGTGACATTGATTAACCTGGGCCCATGGGGGAAGGCAGCAGCAAGGTGGACAATTGGCACAGGGCAGGCTGCACGGCTGCCAAGGGGAAGGGAATCCAGGAAGTGGGCTGCATGCCAAAACGTGCATGAATTCCAGCTCCTAATGGATGCTAGTGAGCCTCATTCTTCACAGCCCTGTACTCTGGGCAGTCATTTACACCAGTGCAGAGCAGGGGGAACGCTGGTGTCAAAGAGGCCCCAGATCTGAGTGCTCGCGCACGGCACTCACTTTGACAGTGCGGAGCAGGGGAACGCTGGTGTCAAAGAGGCCCCAGATCTGAGTGCTCGCACACGGCACTCACTTTGACAGTGCGGAGCACTGCACAAGGCACAGCCGAGCCGGGTAGGGTGGGCCCAGGGTTCTCCTGAGATCAGCCCAGGTGTGTGTCCACTGCAACCGGAGGTGGGACGGCTGCTTGCTCTAGCTTGAATTTAGCTAGTGCGGCGAAAAGCAGCAGCGAAGTGCGGCCGCATGGCCCTGGCATGGGTTAGCAACATGAGCATGTACCCAGGCTTTCTGGCGGGCTTGTACAGCCTGCACCAGGCTCCGTGCCGGCGTGTGCTATTTCTAGTCACGTGACCTAGACGAAAGCTAGTGCAAGCTGCAATCACCCCTCTGACTGCAGTGTAGACAGCCCCCGGCTCTAGCTGGGAGGGAAAGGCACTTCCCGCTCTCCAGATAGCTCTTGGGGGGTGGGGAGGGAGGAACTGCGTCTCATTCAATCCATAACAGGGCTGCATAAGAGCTTGTTCTGTGATTTCACTTCAGTGACGGACTCATCTCAGCCTGGGAGCTCATTGACCTGGGTGAGTCTCTCTGCTCTTCGGGAGCTGGTGTCATGCACTGAAGGAGCGAGACACCTCGCCAGCTAACCAGCCCCATGCGCTGCCAGGATGGGAAGTACACGGGGCAAGAGCTGGGGGCCAAAGGGAGACAGGGAGGGGTCCCCAGCCCCAAAGATCCCTCCAAGCCGGGTTGCAGAGCGCACTCACTTTCCGCCACATGCAGAGAGAATGCAGGGAGGATGCTGCCCATGTAACCACCATGCACCCCACAGAGAAGACGCTTGGAGAGATGCAAGTTCCGAGTGCCCTAATGGGGTTGCCAGGTTTCCTTCCCCGCCTTCACAAGGAGACATTGCCATGAAAAGGCCCATTCCAGAGACTGCCCCAGAAAGGGAACAGGCCACTCCACACGGTCCTGGGACCCATCCTCACAGCCGTGACTAGCACCTGCATGTCATGTCCATCCCACTGGCTGACTGGTTCCTATCGTACTCCCCTTACAATGCATTTTGGGTAGCTGCCCACCTGGCCCCCCTCGCCAGGCTCGGTGTGAGACAGACACAAATTAGACTGGGAACCTACCGTAGTCCAGGCCTTTAACAGTGATTCTGGCCACAAAGCCGGGGTTAGTGGCCCTGGTGAGCACCATGCAGATGGCCAGCACCGAGGCAGCCAGGGCCAGGTGACGCGTTGCCATCCTTACAGGAGTGCGGAGGTACCGTCCAGCCACCAAGATGTGCTGAGCTGGCTGCTGGCTGATGCTCCCCTCCGATCCTGCTGCTATAACCGGCGTGTTTATAGCAGGGTGGAAAAGGGAACTGAGAATGGGTGCCAAGAAAGCAGGAAGTTGCTTTCACATTCCTCTGGGGGCCGTCCCCACTTGCACAATTCTCAGCCATGTCCTGCTCTAGGTTCCTCCTCCTGGGGCTGGGGCTGGGCCACACCCCAGGGGACAGGGCTGCTCGGGGCACTTGTGCTTTCTGCTTCCTGGCCTGGGGCTCGCTCACTCCTCACTTTGAGAGTTGCTGCTGGGCTCTTGCAGTGGGGGTGACGCCCGGCTCCACGAACAGACACCTGCTGACAGCAGCCCTGCAAGCCACAGGAATGCAGCTGGAAGGGTCTCCATGGATACCAGGGTGGGTCGGGGGAAAGGAGAGGCAAGGACTTTGCCTTCAGCGCCGTGCCAACCTCAAATGCCTCCTCACTGCCCTGCCAATTAGAACAAGCGCCTTGCTGGCTCCTGGAGCAGGATCCGGGATTCAGCCGGGACTTGGATCTGATTGCTTTCTTGCACTGTATTTTGCCCATTCCACTTTTGCTCCATTGACAGAGGGCAGGGAGCAGGATGGAGGAGTTTATATCTCCGCAGGGTCCTGCTAGGTGCTGCTTTCACTAGAGGTTTCTCTGGGCATTTTCTCGCTCGTGAGGAGCATTTTACATCTTGTCAAGTCCCCTGGCTGGGAGCAGCTTTTCCCAATTATTTCTCTCCTCCTGCAGCTTTCTCCTTTTCACAGCCTCAGCAAGCTCCTCCTGGCCCCAGCTCCAGTAGCCAATGGCCTCACCAACCAGCAGTGGCCAGTAAGGGTTCTGTGAGGTGGCCCAGTCAGCACGGAGTGAGCACTGGTGGATGGCATGGGCCAGTCCGGGGAGTTAAGTCTGTCGCTCTTTTACCCCCTCTGCACCCTGGCTAGGCCAGCGAGCAGCCACATTCACTGCACGCGTCTGTGCAGGAAGCCGGTCGGGGCCCGGGATGCCAGGCCTGCAGTGCCATTCTGAAGCCAGGCTGGTAAGGTCCATCTTCACCACAGACTTGCACTCGCTTCTTGCGCTGGAGCTAGCTGCATGGGTGCCCCAGCCCGATGAGCCCGCACCCAGCAGTCCCCGCAAGTGTCGCCCTGCCTTGTGCTTTTCTGTCCCAAAGGTTCCTGCATAAATCTTCCAAGCGGAGGTCCCGGGAGAAGCTGAAGGGTTCCGTGGGACTGGGCCAACAGCCTGGGTAGCGAGAGCTCATTAAAATATGTCACTTCCTGCTCACTGCCTCCGAGGGATGGACTCCTCTGTCTGGCTCCACATCCTGCCTGCCCTTGACCTGGGAGAGGTGTATTATCCGCCCACGGGGAGGCTGCTTTATAAATGCAGAGAGCACTGCCCCTTTCCCATTTCTGCTCCCGGGGATGTCCCCTCCCCGCCTTCCGAGGTCCCTCCTAATTCAAAGCCCCCCCTCCCGTGTGAAAACAGAGCTGCTTTCTTCATACAGATATTGTTATGATATGATTATGGCATAATTGTGATGTATTTTACATGAGATAAGGCATGATGAGGCTTTCTTCTGGCAACTCGCAGAAGCTACTAGATCGCACGCCCTGGTTCTCATGGGTGACTTTAATTTTCCTGATATCTGCTGGGAGAGCAATACAGCGGTGCATAGACAATCCAGGAAGTTTTTGGAAAGCGTAGGGGACAATTTCCTGGCGCAAGTGCTAGAGGAGCCAACTAGGGGGGCGCTTTTCTTGACCTGCTGCTCACAAACTGGGTAGAATTAGTAGGGGAAGCAAAAGTGGATGGGAATCTGGGAGGCAGTGACCATGAGTTGGTTGAGTTCAGGATCCTGACACAGGGAAGAAAGGTAAGCAGCAGGATACGGACCCTGGACTTCAGGAAAGCAGACTTCGACTCCCTCAGGGAACGGATGGGTAGGATCCCCTGGGGGACTAACATGAAGGGGAAAGGAGTCCAGGAGATCTGGCTGTATTTCAAGGAATCCCTGTTGAGGTTACAGGGACAAACCATCCCAATGAGTCGAAAGAATAGTAAATATGGCAGGTGACCAGCTTGGCTTAACGGTGAAATCCTAGTGGATCTTAAACATAAAAAAGAAGCTTACAAGAAGTGGAAGGTTGGACATATGACCAGGGAAGAGTATAAAAATATTGCTCGGGCATGTAGGAATGAAATCAGGAGGGCCAAATCGCACCTGGAGCTGCAGCTAGCCAGAGATGTCAAGAGTAACAAGAAGGGTTTCTTCAGGTATGTTGGCAACAAGAAGAAAGCCAAGGAAAGTGTGGGCCCCTTAATGAATGAGGGAGGCAACCTAGTGACAGAGGATGTGGAAAAGCTAATGCACTCAATGCTTTTTTTGCCTCTGTCTTCACTAACAAGGTCAGCTCCCAGACTGCTACGCTGGGTATCACAACATGGGGAGTAGATGGCCAGCCCTCTGTGGAGAAAGAGGTGGTTAGGGACTATTTAGAAAAGCTGGATGTGCACAAGTCTATGGGGCCGGACGAGTTGCATCCGAGAGTGCTAAAGGAATTGGCGGCTGTGATTGCAGAGCCATTGGCCATTATCTTTGAAAACTCGTGGTGAACAGGGGAAGTCCCAGATGACTGGAAAAAGGCTAATGTAGTGCCAATCTTTAAAAAGGGAAGAAGGAGGATCCTGGGAACTACAGGCCAGTCAGCCTCACCTCAGTCCCCGGAAAAATCATGGAGCAGGTCCTCAAAGAATCAATCCTGAAGCACTTACATGAGAGGAAAGTGATCAGGAACAGACAGCATGGATTCACCAAGGGAAGGTCATGCCTGACTAATCTAATCGCCTTCTATGATGAGATTACTGGTTCTGTGGATGAAGGGAAAGCAGTGGATGTGTTGTTTCTTGACTTTAGCAAAGCTTTTGACACGGTCTCCCACAGTATTCTTGTCAGCAAGTTAAAGAAGTATGGGCTGGATGAATGCACTATAAGGTGGAGAGAAAGTTGGCTAGATGGTCGGGCTCAACGGGTAGTGATCAATGGCTCCATGTCTAGTTGGCAGACGGTGTCAAGTGGAGTGCCCCAAGGGTCGGTCCTGGGGCCGGTTTTGTTCAATATCTTCATAAATGATCTGGAGGATGGTGTTGATTGCACTCTCAGCAAATTTGCGGATGATATTAAACTAGGAGGAGTGGTAGATACGCTGGAGGGCAGGGATAGGATACAGAGGGACCTAGACAAATTGGAGGATTGGGCCAAAAGAAATCTGATGAGGTTCAATAAGGATAAGTGCAGGGTCCTGCACTTAGGACGGAAGAATCCAATGCACCGCTACAGACTAGGGACCGAATGGCTAGGCAGCAGTTCTGCGGAAAAGGACCCAGGGGTTACAGTGGATGAGAAGCTGGATATGAGTCAACAGTGTGCCCTTGTTGCCAAGAAGGCCAATGGCATTTTGGGCTGTATAAGTAGGGGCATAGCGAGCAGATCGAGGGACGTGATCGTTCCCCTCTATTCGACATTGGTGAGGCCTCATCTGGAGTACTGTGTCCAGTTTTGGGCCCCACACTACAAGAAGGATGTGGATTAATTGGAGAGAGTCCAGCGAAGGACAACAAAAATGATTAGGGGTCTGGAACACATGACTTATGAGGAGAGGCTGAGGGAACTGGGATTGTTTAGTCTGCAGAAGAGAAGAGTGAGGGGGGATTTGATAGCTGCTTTCAACTACCTGAAAGGGGGTTCCAAAGAGGATGGCTCTAGACTGTTCTCAGTGGTAGCAGATGACAGAACAAGGAGTAATGGTCTCAAGTTGCAGTGGGGGAGGTTTAGGTTGGATATTAGGAAAAACTTTCTCACTAAGAGGGTGGTGAAACGCTGGAATGCGTTACCTAGGGAGGTGGTAGAATCTCCTTCCTTAGAAGTTTTTAAGGTCAGGCTTGACAAAGCCCTGGCTGGGATGATTTAATTGGGGATTGGTCCTGCTTTGAGCAGGGGGTTGGACTAGATGACCTCCTGAGGTCCCTTCCAACCCTGATATTCTATGATTCTATGTAAGGTATCATTGGAAAGGTTATTGATTTACTGAATATGATTATCCTATTTGTATGAACGTATCATTTTGGTAACGAAGTTAGGAATAGTGTCTATGCATCGATTAAAAATATGTTTACACCTGGGGAATGCAATCAGTCTAGGTGTCTGGCTGGGAAGGGCCATTAGGGAGAACAATAAGTCTTTGGAGATGCTAATCACCCACTGAGAAGTTTTCCTGGGGACACTGCAAACAGCCTCTGAGTTATGGCTGTAGGGTCAACAGCAAACAGCCTCCTGGGTGGTGATGGGGGGGAGGGACAAAGCAGCTGCCCCTCCCCTGGGGCTGTCAGCAGTGGTTGGGTCCTGGCCACCTCTGGAAACAGAAAAGCTGGATGAGCAGACAGCCGGTGTGTGTTCCCCACCTTCCCGGGATGGTGGGGTTCAGCTTCAGCCCTAGAGTGGTGGGTGGCAGGCTCCACCCATGGGGCTTTAGGCTCCATCCCCTGGGCAAGGGGCTTTGGTCTCCATTCCCTGGCTGTATGGTGATGGGCTCAACCTCTCCAATCACCCCTGGCCCATGCTGCCTCCCCCAGTGCCCCATTGCCCCACTGCCTCCATCCAGGGCTTAATTTGTCCCTGGGCTTACTGGGCCTGGGTAAGTTTGCTGTGAAAAGTGATATTTGTATGTTTGTTAATATCACTTTTCACAGCAGACTTACTAGCTAGCAAGTCTTAAAAAAAGAAAAGCAATAAAAAAAGGCAAAAGAAACAATAAGAAAAAAGACAAGAATATGAGAATGTGCAAAGAATATTTGTATTTCTATTCTGTTTAGATCCAAAAAGGAATAGAGACAACTGTACATTATTTTTATTATTGAGTCTGCAAAAAACCTTACATAAATAAATTACAATGATTTGGACATGGATATTTGCATATTTATTTGATTTTCCTAAAATTAATTAAGTATTTTAGGAAAAATTGTCAGAGCAGCCATCAGCATTTTTTTTTGTGAGCACCCCGGTCTAGTCTGTGATTGAAATATCTGAAGTTTTAAGCTGTAGGCAAGTGCAGCTGGCCTTCAAGAATCTCTGCCTAGAACAACAACATTTAGGGTGAGAATTTGCTACTTATAACCAGTTTCTTTAGTATATTAATCTTAGATTGTGTTTTGTTTTATTTGCTGGGTAATCTGCTTTGATCTGTTTGCTATCTCTTATAATCACTTAAAATCTACCTTT